TCGTGAGAGCTGACTGGAGGGTAATAGATTTTTTATATATATGGCTATTTTAAATAGTGTTACTCTGAACATTCATGTTTTAGTTTTTATGTAGGCCTTTGTTTCCATTTCTCGCAGATAGGGACAGATAGAGAGATATATCTAAGAGTGGAATCCCAGAGATTGAGAGGAATGAGACTCTCAGAACACTCAAATATGTGCTTATGAAACCTATACCTAGAGCAAGAAGCTGTTGTTCATGTGGAGCAAGCGAACACTCATGGTTTAAAATCAGGACAGGTGTGGGGCAGGGTTGTATCCTTTCACTGTGCTTATTCAGTCTGTCTGGTGATCAAATCATTCGAGAAGGTGGACTCTGAAGAAGAATATGGCATCAGGATCAGAGGAAGACTCATCAACAACCTGTGTTATGGAGATGATACAGCCTTGTTTGCTGAAAATGAGGAGGACTTGAAACACGTGTTTCAGAAAATTAAAGCCTCCAATAAGAAAATGAAAGTCCTCACCACTAAACCAATAAGCAACATTGTGATAGGTGGAGAAAAGATGGAAATAGTCAACAGTTTCCTCTTACGTGGTAAGATCTTACAATCAACACCTTTAGTACCAGCAGTCAGGAGATACTGTATTGGGCAATTCTGCTGTCAGACAGACACCTCTCCAAATTACTGAGGAGCAGCAATGTCAGTTTAAAGACTAAGGTGTGTCTTAAGTCAGGCTGTGATATTTTAAATCCATTCTGTGACTCTGAGAACTGGACAGTGAATAAGGACAGAAGAAGAATTGATGCCTTGGAGCTGTGGTATTGGTGTACCAGATATCCCATGGACTGCCAAAAGAACAAACAGATGAAACTTGGGGAAGGTGAAGCCAGATTGCTCCTTGGAAGCAAGGATGGTGAAATTGTCTCACATACTTTGGGCATATTGTTAGGAGAGGCTATTACCTGGAGAAGGACATCAAGCTTGGAAAGGTGGAGGGTAAGCAAAAGAGCAAGACCCTCAACAAGATGGATTGATACAGTGACTGCAGCAGTGGGCTCAAGTGTGTCAGAGGTGATGAAAACGGTACAGGATAGGACAGACCTGTTGTTCTTAGGGTCAATGTGAGTCATACTCAGCTCAGTGGCACCTATCCCCAAGAGTGGAATTGCTTTGTCACATGATAACTGACATATTAAGGATCCACCAGACCATTTTCCAAGTGGTTCTACCATTTTTTAATCCCGCAGCCATGTATGAAAGTTCTGCTTTATCTACATCCTCACTGACACATGTTATTATTTGTTTTTTGGATTTTAGCCATTTTAGTACTATGAAGTGGTATTTCATTGTGAAGTCGTTTTAGTTTTGCATCTGAGTTATGTAATCTACTCTGCCACTCTCTTGGGAATTTGGGGAAAAACTTTTTTAGTAGCTAAAAATTGGCCTGTCTTAGAGTTGTCATATCTTAAAAGGGGAAGGGGGGGGGAAATCCTTTTTGTGTTTTTCTGATTTGCTCATGTTTGTTGGTTTGTGTCAGTATTTACACCAGAAAAGAGAACAGGTAGAAGGAAAGGTATTAAACTTCAGAGCCAACGAAGTTCAGGTTCCCTTCATGGGGGTTTGGGTGGGGTCTCTCAGTTAGCTGTTCCTGGATAGCAACCTATCCTCAAACTTGGTGGCTTACATAGCAGCCCTTTATTTCCACTGTGATTTTGTGAATTAGCTGATGGGATGGGATCACTACCAGCCTGGCTGGTGCTTTCTGGTTAAAATAGTCTCAGTTGAGTTGTCTTCCTCTGTTGCACTTGACCCCTGTTTGATGGTTCTGGGGGAGTGAGCTGAAGTCGGAAGGTTTGAGGCTTGGAATAAGAACTAGAAAAATATAGGGTTGGTTTTTGTTTTTTAATTTTATTATTTTGTGTGTGTGTACCGTCAAATTGGATCCGACTGGTACGGGAGGAGACTGCCCTCCCTTTTCTAGCAGAGGGTCTGGTGGATTTGAACCGTGTACCTCTGGGATTGCAGTGCAGTTTCTTGCCACTAGGCCACCAGAGCTCCCTGACAGTATAGTTTTTGCAGTATTTTGTTGGCCAAAGCAAGGCCCAAAGCCTGGATTTGAGGGCTTAAGTAACTTGATCAAAGTCACACAGCTTGTTTTCCTAGAAGGGGTAGGAGCTGCAAAGTGCCATGGTACACAAACACAGAGTTGGGGAGTGCCCAAGAACAAGGGCACTCCCATAAAACCAGAATGGTGCAGATGGTTAATGTTACAAACTGAAAATTTGGAGGTTTGGGGCCAGCCAGAGACTAATCTGAAAAATCAGCCGTTGATAACCCAGTGGAACACACTTCAGTCCTGCACAAGTGGGGGTCGGTCATCATGCATCAGAGTCCGCATCATAGCAGTGATTACAGTTATTAGAACTGAAAAATTAACATCTACACATAACTTTCGTATCATCCATAGTTCTTATTCAAATGTTAAATGTCCAGTAATGTCCTTTGTCACAATCTCTCCTCCAGGCAGGATTTAGACCATGGTCAGGCATTGCGTTTACTTGTCCCTTTGTTGTTGCCTGTTAGGTACCATCAAGTCAGAACCAACCCATACCTGGCTCTCCAGCGGGTTTTTAGAGGCTGCAGATCTCACAAGAGGAGATTGCCCATATTTCTCGAAGCAGCTGGTAAATTTGAATCACATGCCTTCAGGTTGGCAGTGAAACTCCTTACCACTAAGCCACCAGAGCTCCAGAGCAGTTCCTCGGTCGATTTTTGTTTCTTTACTTTGACATGTTTTGAGGAATGGCACATTCCAGTATGTTCCTCATTTAATTTTTTTCGTTCTTTCTTTAGGTTGCACATTTTGGTAGGAAAACTATCAAACTTATTTTCCACTGTTCATGGTGCATGTTATTAGGAAACACATGCTGTTGATTGATCCCAGGATTGATGAAATTAGCCTTGGTAGCTTGCTTATGGTGCTTTCCACCAGGTTTCAGCCATGTAAAGTTACTTACTGTTTTTCCTTTTTAAAAATTATTAAATAATATTGAGGTGATAAATTTGAAACAAGGGAGCTCTTAGTGGCAAGAAGCTGCGCTGTAGTCCTGAAGGCACACAGTTCAAATCCACTAGATGCTCCGTGGTAGTATGATGGACAGCCTCCTTCCATGCATTTAATTGACTCTTAATTGTCTTTAATGTTTATGCCTGTGTTCAAACCTACAAATAACAGAAGGTAGCTTCAGACTTGCTAGTTCTATTACTGCAAAACAGAAAGATCATTGAATACTTCCTTACAGTTCTTTTTTTTTTAGGTGAAATTGATTTGTGTGTCTATGTGTGCATACACATATGTATACAGTGCAGTGAATTCTGGCAAATGGGTTGTTGTGAGGTCTGTTGAGTAGTGGCAAACTTTCTTGACACCACCTCACGATGACCGTGTGTGTAAGAGAACAGAAGCCTGCTTGGTCCTGCACCGGGCTCGTGTCCACTGTTGTGGCCACAGTGTCAGTCTCTCCTTGAGGGTCTTCCCCTTTGTGTTCACCTTCTGCTTTATCAAACATGCTCTTCTCAGGGCCTGACTCTTCCTGATAACATGGCTTAAGTCTGTGAAATGGAATCTGTCCATCCTTGCCTCTGAGTAGTATTGTGACTAGACTTCTTTGGAGACAGGTTTGCTTGTTTTTTGGCAATCCCAGGTATATTTGGTTTTCTTCTCAAGTACTGCAATTCAAAGGCATTGGTTCTTTTCTGGTCTTCCTTATCTATTGCTCAACTGTCATATGCATATTGTTGTTGTTGTGTGCCATCAAACGATTCATAGCGACCCTATGTACAATAACCCTGATGCCTGTGCCAACCTTATTGTCTCTGACACACCTCCTTATTACCCCAGTCACTGAGTCAGTCCATCTCATCGAGGGTCTTTCTTATGCTTTCCCTCTACCCGTCCAAGCATGATGCCCCTTTCCAAGGTCTGTTCCTTCCTTGCAACATGTCCAAAGTATGTCAGACAAAACTTCAGAATCCTTGCCTCCAAGGAGCAGCCTGATCTCACCCTCTCTAGGACGAACCTTTTTTTTCTCCTAGCAGTCCATGGTATACTCAGTACCCTTCTCTAGCACCAGAGATCAAAGGCATCAATTCTCTTTCTCTCATCCCTAGTCATGTACATTAGTTGATTGGAAATACAGCTAGACACCTTAATCCACAAAGTGACTTCTTTGCTCTTTAGCATTTTATGGATATGTTTATATAATTCACACCCATATTAAAGTACAGAATCATTCCCTTATCTCAGAAAGTTCCCTTATATTCTCAGTTAGTCCCTCCTCATATTCCCTTCCCTCCCTAAGTCAAAGGCAATGACTTCTAATTTCTGTTTGCCTTGATTTGCCTATTTGAACTTTTTTTTAATAAATTTTATTTTATTATTTTTTGTGTGTGTACCGTCAAATTGAATCTCACTGGTACAGGAGGAGATTGCCCCTCCTTCTCCAGCAGAGCATCTGGTGGATCTGAACCACGTACCTCTGGGATTGCAGTGCAGCTTCTTGCCACTAGGCCACCAGAGCTCCCTCTATTTGAACTTTTAATCAGTGGAATCCTACATCTCCTTTTGTATCTGACCTCTGTCACTCTATTTTGAGATTTACAGTATTTTTCAACTTTTCTTCTTCATTGCTATGTGTCATCGTGTGACCATACCTGAATTGTGGCCATTATTAGAATTATCACAGTGAGAAGTTCTTCGAGAGTGAAGAAGCCATGTAAATCCCATCACAAGGAATCTTCCTGTAATTGGCATCCTGAGTTGATGGGTGAAAATAAGTGTCACCTGGAACTTAAACTTGACTTGAAAGTCAAATAGAGGAGAAAATCCCAGAGGTGTCCTTTTATAGCTGAGTTTTAGACCTGTGTCTGACAATATTCTGCTCTTTTTTGCCTATCCTAGTGGAAAAGAGAGTTTAGGCCTAGATTGAATGTGTGCTTTCCCCCTCATCCTTATAGAAAGACGATGACATTGAAGAAGGAGATCTGCCAGAGCACAAAAGACCCTCAGCCCCGATCGACTTCTCCAAGCTCGATCCAGGCAAGCCTGAAAGCATTCTGAAGATGACGAAGAAAGGGAAGACTCTGATGATGTTTGTCACGGTCTCAGGAAACCCTACTGAGAAGGAGACGGAGGAGATCACGAGCCTGTGGCAGGGCAGTCTCTTCAATGCCAACTATGACGTCCAGAGGTAACACGCCGGCTGCAGTGGGGCTTGCCAGGGGCCCTGGGCATTTCCTGTTTAGCATTCTCCTCTTGAATTTGTATTTGATCCTAAAGTTTTCTTTTGCGGTCTCCAGCTTTTATTTCATCTGAGTAAAAGTTGTAGTGTTTTGGCCTAGCCTCTAGAGAAGAGCAAATTATAGTTTAACAGTTTACTTGCTCTAGATGTTTCTGCTCAGTGACATAATGGTTAAGCCCTCGGCTGCTAACAGAAAGGTCAGCAGTTTGAACCCACCAGCCACTCCAGGGAAGACAAAGACCTGCAGCATGGACAGCCTGTGGGGCAATTGTACTTTGCCCCTAGGGTTGCTGTGAGTTGAAATTGTTTTGAGGGCACACAACAGCTTGTTTACTATAAAGCTTTGGGCCAGACTGTAAACCCATAACTAATTTAATGTGGAGGGGCCCAGTTTTCACAACTCATTGTAGCTTTGGGAATGACATTCTCCTCCCCACAACAATGCTTTAAATTCAGTGTCTTGAAAGGTTGTAATTTGAATAGTAAAAAACTAAAGAAAGAAGTAGAAAGATATCTTAACCAATATCTGCAAAGGTAGGATTTGCAAGTTAATGTGAATACTCTTAAAGAGGACAAATAAATGTTTTGGTTGTAATTGGTCTAAAAGTCTCCTTCTGCGTGGAATGGTAGGAGTGTTCTAAAACCACAGCATGGAGGTGGAGGTTGGGGTGTCCCGTCAGGAAACAGGGTATCAGGAGTGACTCTCTGGCCATCTAGACCCTATTCTGGTCTGCCTTGCTCCTTGGGGCCTGTTCAGGATTACCTGAACTACTTGCTTTTAATCTCAGGCAGGGGTTAAGATTATTGTCCCCCTCAATTGCTAAATGTCTTCCTGAGCCCTTTATAGGTCTCTTACCAGGACCCCATCTAATTCAGGAGCGTCCAGACTTCAGCAGCAGCAGCCTGTAGTCAAATGAAACCTCAGCGTATAAACAGATGAAAATAGAAGCAACCTCTTCCTCACCACAGTCCCCTAGTCACCCCTGTGCCCCCTGGCCGCTCTTCCTACTGTGTTCTGAGAAGGGGCATCCACTTTTGCTGTAAAGAAGTACCTCGTGGGGTTTCCAATTTGATTTGAGCGGCCAGGTAAAATAGTTCCATAAACTAAGTTTTCTAACCTTAGGGTGTTAGTAGCTACTAAAAAAGGGGAAAAAAAAGATATTTAAAAAAAAACACCACAAAAACAAACCAAACACAACACGCAAACAAATGCATGGCCATCAAGTGAATTCTAAGTCCTCATGACTGACTAGACCCAGAAAATGCAAGCCTGCTGCGTGTTCACATAGAATTTGAAATAAGCTATACTCTTTCATTCTTTTTTTTTTTTTTTAAAGTATAACCAAATTGCTCTAAATACCAGAAAAACTACTTTGGGCATGTTGCTAGGAGGGGCTATTCCTTGGACGTGATACTGGGAGGGGTTGGAGGGTCGTGATACTGGGAGGGGTGGAGGGTCGGCAAAGAAGAGGAAGACCCTCAAGCAGGTGGATTGATAGGGTGAGTGCTGCAGTAGGATCTTGTGTGACAGAAAGTGTGAGGATGGTTCAGGATAGAACAGGGTTCAGATCTGTTGTTCAAGGGTTGCTATGTGCTCGACTTGAGGGCACCTAATTAACAACCACATTGCTCCGAGCTCTTGGTGCCTCCGTTTTATTCTCTGATTGACTGCATCTCTCTGTTAAGGTTCATCGTGGGATCCGACCGGGCCATCTTCATGCTTCGGGACGGGAGCTATGCCTGGGAGATCAAAGACTTCTTGATCAGTCAAGACAGGTGTGCTGATGTCACTCTGGAGGGACAGGTGTACCCGGGCAAGGGCGGAGGAAGCAAAGAGAAAAATAAAACCAAGCCAGAGAAGAGCAAAAAGAAGAAGGAGGGAGATCCGAAGTCCCGGGCAGCGAAGGAAGACAATCGAGCAGGGACAAGAGAAGATCTCTGACGCGGCCGCCTGGAGGCGCTGTGGAGGAGCAGTGGGCAGAGTCACAGGGGCTCCGCAGGTGGGAGTGGGCGCAGAAAACCACATACCAGGTGAAATTCTAGGTACTTCTAGAAAGGCTCGGCCACGTGACCAGTTTGTGGTCAATATAAGTATTACTGTTTAGAAGATTGTGAGTGAGAAGACAAATTTTCTGATACTATAATGTTTGCTACAGAATCACTTTAAATGGAAACTTGAGCGTGTTGCTTTTTTCCTAGTTTGAATTTGGCCAGTCAGGGCTCACCCTGTAGACGCCTGCCCCGTGAGCAGGGCACTGGGACCACTCCTGTCATCCCTGCACCTGCTCTGATCTGGAGGCCTGCAGGGCCAGGCTGCCATAGTTACACCAAGCACAAGTCTATACCACGATCTATACCAACAAGTTTTTCAAACTCCAATTTTTATTTTTTTTTAAACCCACTCAAAAAACTCCCGATTTCATTCAATCAGACTCATCACCTGCCAGCATCGTGTTTATAACTTATAGGAGAAACATGCCCAGATGTGAAGTCAAAACATGCGATCAGAGCCAGAGCGCTGCTGGGGAGCACTCAATTCTAAACAATCAGAGCAGGCTCTGCCCACAGTGCAGGAAACGGAAAATAATGCAGCTCTGAAAGCTCAAGTGTTTACTTTGAGCTTTGCTGACTTGAATCCCTCTCTTCTTTCATAGAAAACTCTTGGTCCCTGGCCACTTTGACCTGATCGGTGACGTTCAGGCCCGTTCTGTTTTATTTCATCAATTAGGAAAATGTACTACTGGCATTCGGGGTCCAGATGTTCCATTTAATGTGACAATTTTAAAGTGTAGATAGGTAGTTAGCAGAGGCCTTTGCCAGATGTGGCAGAGAGTTGGAAACCTTACCTAATTTCTAAACGTTTTTATTTGATAAAGTGCCTAAAGCTGTGTCATTCTGTGTGGTACTGACATGACGTGCTCCTTGTTCATGTCTGTGCTGTGCATGCATTGATTGCGGACTTTATCTGTAAGTACTGTTGTTAAGAACTAAAATGGAAAAAAAAAGGTCAAGTAACATATGTGCATGGGCAAACAAGTTGAATGGTAAAGAACAGTACAAAGTGAAAAATATATGCCTCCCACCCCCAGGCCATCGTCTTTTGGAAGCCATTGTTAACGGTCCTTTCTTCTTTTTTTTTTTTTTTTTTTTCTTTTTAAAAAGTGTTTACCAGCTTTTAGTCATGTCTGTTTCTTTGTTTTGAACTTTCTGCATCATATCTTACATTCAGAGGATTTTCCCTGGTTGAGCAGTAGTTAAAGCAGGTAAGAGAAAGATGCCTCTGTTCTATCACTAACAACCTCGTAAATCCTTGAGACAGCTACACTCTGCCCTGGAGGGTTGCTGTGAATCTGAATGGAATGATGGACCATTTTCTGTTGTTTTTATTTCCTTTGGTTGAGCTGCTCCTGGCAGGAGCTCTGGTGGCTTAGAGATAAGGAGTTAAGCTGCCATGTTAAAGGCACGCGGTTCTAATTTACCAGCTGCTCCATAGGAGAAAGACGGGCAGTCTCCTCTCATGCACTTTACAGCCTCTGAAAACCCATTGAGGAGACAGCTATGAGTTTCTCATATACACCAACAAGGCAAGGCTGAGCACTCTGGGTTCTGTGCTTTAGGTGGGCTATTTGCCCTCCAGCCCAGTTCCAGGACACAGGCCTGGGTGGTTTGGGTCTGGGCTGAGGGCCATTAGGTCTGAGCCAGCTCAAGGTAAGGTATTCTTTGTACCTCTTGTAGTGTTATCATGTGCCATGGAGTCGCCTGCAATTCAAAGCCACTGTGTGCACAAGAGCTCTGAACCCTGATCTATCCTGAGCTGCTCTCACGGTCTCTGACATGCCTACCCTCATTGCCCAGTTATTGTGTCATTACATCTCACTCAGGGTCCTCCCTCCACGCATCCAAGCATGATTTCCTTCTCCAAGGTTACCTCTTGTGTTATCTCATGGAGACTGAACGAGGAAGGCAGGAGGCTACAGCTGCCACAACCGGTTTGCCCTCAAGGGAAGAGCTGGCTTCGGCAGGACAGGGAAGACAGCAGAGAGAGCTAGAGCCCTGGTCTTGCTGGAAACCCCTGAATCCAGACTTGTCAGAAACAGGCCTGGGCCCTCAAAACCTTGTATCAAACAGTTCAAGTTCAATACCCATTGACTCTTGGTGACACTAAACAGATACAGTGCCTTAAACAGTGACCTTGCGCATGGCGCACATTGTGAAGCTGTCACTGGATAAGGCAAGGTTCTGATCTGCTGTTTATAGACTCACTGTGAATTGTGGTTGACTCAACGGCACCTATGACAAGCAGCTCTGTTCGGGGTTTCTGTCACATGTAGCCACAGTGGTCCAGTAGAGAGCAACAGTCCTGACTGATGCTCACTTGTGTTCACCCCCGAACACTACCCCGTTGAGTTTCAAATGCTGTAAATCACAGGGGAGGAGATTGCCCGTCTTTTTCCCTTAATGCCGCTAGTGGATTCAAACCTCCAAGAGATGCAACTTTTGGGTTAGTTAACACCACAATTCCTTAAGAAATGCACCACTAAATAGGTGTTTTAATGAAATGAAAAGTAGCAGACAGCCTTTCCATATTACCCTGTGTCTTGTGTTCTCCTTTAGAAATTGTCCTTTATCAGGATGTAGAGATCTATCCTACTGCTTTCCATGTTGTTGTTGATTGCTGTCGAGTCAAGTGCAACTCATAGCGACTTGATGAACAAAAGACCTAATGCCTTTCCATAACTGTAGTCATTTTTCCAAGTTCATAGAGTGTCCAGAGGTATGTGGTTTAGGAAGTGGATTGCCATTCCTGCTTCCAAACCTGTTTTACACCTGGGAGCTCCACCAAATATTGGGAAGCCATTCTGGTATTTGATAACCCAATGGCTTGAGGTTCAACATCACAGCAAACCCAGGTTACTTCATACAACACATTGACAAAGAGTGATGTATAAAGTGGAAGAGTGTTCCTCCAGATACAACAGCACTAGTTTCATTTAGCAATGATTAAGTGTCGTCAAGTCAAATACGACTGAGTAAGTTTTGCACAAAAGACCTAAACTCTGTTCTATGACTAACATAATTTCTGTACATAACTCTGTTCTATAACTACCATCATTTCTGTACATTTAAAGAGTTTAGAGAGTTTGTAGAGTTTTCAGAGGCATCTAGTTTAGGAAGTGGATGCCACTCCTGCTTCCCAGCATAAAATCAGTTTGGAAACTTATAATGAGTAACCATTAAGGTATTTGACAAGACTATGGAACAGTGTGCAGCATCACAATACCACCAAGATGTTCAGCAAATAGACAAAAGATTGTTGTATCATTCAGGGAATATCATTTAAGCCAACACCTTTGAGCAGCCTTAAACCCAAGGCAAAGCCTCAAGGACATCACTTGGGGGGGGGGTGCAGAGCGGGAAGAGCACTACACATCAAACACGACCCCAGAAACTTCCCTTTACTTGCCCATCCAGACCACCGTGCCCAAGCAGCAAAAAGCCCTGCTTTTCATAAACTGTAATTATGTCCACCAGTATTTACTGTCTGTATGTGCCAGACACTTACAAGGTGTTAAGGAGAGAGTAGTATTGACCCCAGCTCTCCAGAAATTCAGTGATTGCCTGAAGAAGGACAAATGTTAATCACAGGAGAAGCAAAATGGCATTGTTGCAAGTATGAAAGATGTATAAGATACTAGAAGAATATGTTGTAGGGCTGACTGGGAAGTTATCTTCGCTCGAGGTCAGGAGAAGGAAGAGGGGAGTTTTCTGTGCAGAGTCCTAAGATAAAACAGTCCAGCGAGTCAGTAGACATAGGGAGTTTGGGGACGTCCTGAAGGATTTGAAACTGGTAGGATGGGAGCAAGTAACAATCCAGTTGGTACAGACTGAAGGATTGAGTGGTCTGTCTGTTTCTTGATACTTGAATCATACAACTTGTAGTGACGCTGTGTACAGTAGATTTGAACCTTGCTCTCTCCTGCACCATCCTCAGGATCTCAGTTACGCCCAAGTCCATTATCACAGTCACGGTGACAGTCCATCTTGTGGAGGGTCTAACTCTTGCTCTCCGGACCAGCGAGACAAAATTTCCCCATCCTTGCCTCTAAAGAGCCCCTGGTGGCAAGTCCTCCAGACGTACTTGTTCTTATAGCAGTTCTTCCAATACTCTTCAGAATTAACCACAATTCAAAGGCATAAATTCTTTAGAATGGGGCCCCCAGACCCATCACCATCAGGTAGAGTCTCATTAACTGACTGACCCTTCAGGACAGAGAAGAGCTGTTCATAAGGTTTTCTCGGCTGTAGAACGTCACAAACACAGCCTGCCACATGCTTCTATGAGAGTTTGGTGGGTTCAAATCACCAACCTTACTGTTGACAACTGTGTACTTAACCACTGTGCCATCTAGAGCTCCCTAAAAGAGGCATCATTGGATGTGGAAAGAGTATTTTAGTCACTGATGCTTCAGATTAACAGAGTGGGAGGTTTGAACCACCTGAACAGTATCTGAACACTTGAATTTTCAAGTTTTTGCTAGTACATACAGTGCAGTGATAGTTATTTTTACATAAGATGTCCTGATAAACTTTTGTTCACTCTGAAGGGCGAATTCCTCTCAGTGTCAATTACTGTGGTGCACAGAATGGAACATTTTGGTATTCAGTCATTAGCAGCCTGCCCTCTCAAGTGCTTGTGCCAGTTTTCACTCTTGCCAGGATTTTTCATACCCTTGCCAACACTGGGAATTACACTTGTCAGTTTAATAGATTTAAGTCCGTTTCCTAATTGGCTACCTTAAAGCCCCCGGGCTGGAGTGGCCAAGCAGAGCTAGAGATACCCACGGAGACCTGTGCAGGGCTCCCAGCCTTCACTTGACAAGTAGAGTTCGCAGGAGCAGAAGAAAGATCACGGACTTTAAAATAAAAAAGTATATATGCACA